AGGTCGGAGGTAGTGGCAAAAAATCTCACGTTCCTTAGATTATTTCCCAGCTTTTCTGCCAGGGACTTCATACCGGCAGTCAAGCACTTTAACTAATTTCCTAAACCCGTCTTGTTCCACTGTGCTTAGGGGCATCACGTTGAACTTCCAGTGACCAGTATGAGAGAGTGAGAGCGATAACACCAAATTGAACACACCTGCTCCCCATTCACACCTGAGACCTTGTAACACTAATGAGTCACATGACACCGGGGAGAGAAAATGGCTAATTGGGCCCAATTTGGACATTTTCACTTAGGGGTGTACTCACTTTTGTGGCCAGCGGTTTAGACATTAATGGCTGTGTGTTGAGTTATTTTGAGGGGACAGCAAATGTACACTGTTATACAAGCTGTACACTCACTACTCTACATTGTAGCAAAGTGTCATTTCTTCAGTGTTGTCACATGAAAAGATATAATAAAATATTTACGAAAATGTGAGGGGTGTACTCACTTCTGTGAGATACTGTATATAAAAATGGATCAATATAAGATTTCTGGACCAAAAAAAAAATTTGTAATTTTTAGCCTTCGGGTCATTTTGACCCGCGAGGGACACTTTTGTTACAGGTTCAGGAGGGACGGATGAGGTAATGTTGTTTACATTACAAAAAAATAAAAATAAAAATGAAAGTAGGGCTGGGTGATATGGCCAAAAAATTTATCACGATAATTTTTGTTCATATCAATAATTATCACGATAAATGTCAAATCTTTATTTCTTTCAAGTTTAAAGCCAGATTTATGCTTAATTTTCCTTAACAAAATAAATAATAGAACATTTATTTCTTAGTGTCTGCATGTTCTAATGAGTGATATTGTTGCAAATCAAGAAACAGGTTTGTGTTGCCTATCTGATAATATTAATAATAATATTACTTTTTTCCCCTTAGGAATGCACATTTGATAGTAGCTGGATGCAGATCTAAATTTTCTAAATCAGTAACAACTGTTAAAAATTGTAGCAACCTCATTTTTATATGGTGAAAATACATTTAAATGAGTCATGCTGTTTCGTTCCGCTTTTGGTGCATAAAAATTATAACGAACATTTATTGAACTCTTGTTATCGTTTTATCAAGGAAAATTATATCGCGATAATTATCGTTTTTTCGCCCAGCCCTAACTGAAAAAGGATTTCTTTGGGAATCAGATTTTTTTTTTCCAAATGGATTTTTAAGAGTGTTTGATTACAGAGATGCAGGTGTTTTGAAGTGTGACTCAAATGTCCAAATACTTCTGATGGATCAAATGTTTCACTTCTAAAATATGACTGAATCTCATTGACTCGAAGGCGTTGTGAAGTGAAGCAGGATTTGGATTTAGACCGTGTGCCTTTAAATAGCATAAAACTCATCTTTCGTTTTTACTCAGTTTAAGCACTAAACGATACTCGGAGCCTTTCATTTGGAGTCGCATCTTTCTGTCCCAGCGTTATTGTGGTCGAATGCAAACATGTTTTTGAGTTGGGGCCCGAAGTGTCTTTTAGTCTTTAGTAAGTGCAGATCTGCTCTCTGGTTGAGAGTGAACGTGAAAGTGTTCATAACTTTGAGAGAGCATTCTGACAATGTTTGCAGCTCCTTACAAAATCCCACAGATTTACACCGAAGCAGCGACGGAGAGCAGAAGAACACAGATGACTCTAACCTGAGAACAGTGTCCTCTGGCAATCTACGAAAAGAAGCAAGCAGCTTTATATTTATATTAGATATTTGCCAAAAGCCAGCGGTATTCATACTGCACACACTATGCCAATAGAACCCATACGCAAGTGTAATACATACATTTACAAATATGAAATGTATTGTCATATTACATAAAAACATAATGTCTATGAAACCTATTAGAACGATTTCATATTTCTAACCCATATCTGTCATGATATCCATCCTAAAATCCATCAATACATGTTGATATTATATTAGGAATTATAAAAGATAGACATGCATTTACAAAAATATGCAACTGAAGAAGCCGTCCAGGGCCTCCGGCAGAAACACAGGCCCATTAAAGATCCAGCAGTGTATTTAACTGCGAGCACGGGCTACTTTTTATCCCGGTTTGTACTAAACGCATATTATTATTATTTTTTTTAATGAAAGATCAAAAAGATCAACGATGCAGATTTATTTTCAAAATGTTTTCACTCATGAAATATAAATATGTAAGCTTGGATAGTGCACTTTCACGTCTATGTTCAAAAATGTGAGCGACAGTTAAGGGGTTAATTCTTCGTGGCATAGATTCCTCAGAGATTGTGGTCCGTACGGACATGACAGCACCACGCAGTTGCTGCAGATCTGTCGGCTGCCGAATCTCCCGGTCCAGCACATCCCAAAGCTGCTCTACTGGACTGAGATCTGGTGCCTGTGGAGGCTATCTGAGTAAAGACAACTCATGGTCATGCTCAAGAAAGCAGTCGGAGATGATTTGGGCTTTGTGGTGCATTATCCTGCTGGAAGCAGCCATCAGAAGATGGGTACACTGTAGTCACAAAGGGATGGACATGGTCAACAACAATACTCAGGTAGGCTGTGGCCTTTAAACGATGCTCCGTTGGTACTAAGGGGCCCAAAGTGTGCCAAGAAAATATCCCCCACACCATCACACCCCCACCAGCAGCCTGAACCGCTGAGACAAGGCAGGGTGGATCCATGCTTTCATGCTCTTTACGCCAAACTCTGACCCTACCATCTGAATGGCGCAGCAGAAATCCAGACTCATCAGACCAGGCAACGTTTCTCCAATCTTCTATCGTCCAATTTTGGTGAGCCTGTGCGAACTGTAGCCTCCGTCTCCTGTTCTTAGCTCCCGGTGAGGTCTTCTGCTGCTGGAGCCCATCAGCTTCAGGGCTCCACGTGTTGTGCGCTCAGAGATGCTGTTCTGCAGACCTTGGTCGTAACGAGTGGTTATGTTGCCTTTCTATCATCTCTAGCCAGTCTGCCCATTCTCCTCTGACCTCTGACCTCAACCAGGCATTGTGGTCCACACAACTGGACCGTTTCGGACCGTTCTCTGTAAACCCTAGAGACAGTTGTGCGTGAAAACCCCAGCAGACCAGCAGTTTCTGAAATACTCTGATGCTCAGTCTGACCTCCAGCTAGACGTCTTCACCACATCTAGACTAAATGCATTGGGTTGCTGCCATGTGATTGGCTGATTAGCAGTTTGTGTTACCAAGCAACTGAACAGGTACCTAATAAAGTGGCCTGTGAGTGTATCATCTTTGATATAGTGCAATATATGTCATAAATTACATGATCGTATAGGAAGCAGCAACTGTTCGTTTATAAAAGCAAGAAGAGGGTTGAGCTTGTATAGTTGTGTTGTCTAATGCAGTGATATTCAGAGGTTTAATTCGCGACCAATGCAGTCTCAATCAACACAAGTCCACAAATACAGACGCGTGCTGACGCCGCCGAGCGGGCTCTCCTGATTGGAGGAGGACCAGCATGTGGGCGTGTTATCGGTTCAGCGCAGAAGCAGGAAGAGAAGCAGCAGCATCTGACGCTTCGCCGCGCGTTGAACTGGTGAGTGTTCGCGCACATACACACGCGTTTAACCTCTCGCGTTTCATCTCCGCACGCAAACCTTGAGCCATAAGTTGATAGCGCGCAGCAGAGCTCGTGTTTTAACGCCACCGATGCTGCTGCTGCTGAGGACGGGCGTTGTTCCTGAAGGAGGGCGTCAGGCCTCTCGCGTTCTAATAAACAACAAACACCGCGACGACGTCACGAACTAATAAGCGGCGTGACGTCACGACCTTTAAATCCTCTCCGTGACGTCAGGATTCACGCCGACAGCAGAGCACGTGTTAGCTTGTTTTCAAAAGGTTACTCATCACATAGGGTTGCAGGTTCGAAGAATATATGAGAGCCTGGAGCACAAAACCAGTCTTAAGTGTCAATTTTGTGAAATTGAGAGTTATGCATCATCTGAAAGCTGAATAAATCATCTTTGCATTGATGTATGGTTTGTTAGGATCGCACAATATCTGAAAATCTGGAATCTGAGGGTGCAAAAAAATCTAAATATTGAGAAAATCATCTTTAAAGTTGTTCAAATGAAGTTCTTAGCAATGCATATTACTAATCAAACATTAAGTTCTGATATATTTACGGTAGGAGATTTACAAAATATCTTCATGGAACATGATCTTTACTTAATATCCTAATGATTTTTGGCATAAAAGAGAAATGTATAATTGTGACCCATACAATGTATTGTTGGCTATTGCTACAAATATCCCCCAGCGACTTAACACTGCTTTTGTGCTGCAGAGACACAGATCGGTTGCTCAAGGATGCAGGATTGTTGTTTCATGTATCGAGACACCTACACAAATTAATATTCTTGCTGAATTCTGAGCTTTATGCTACTGCCATAGAAACATACGGCAACAATAGTGAGAGTAGTGTTCTAGTATTTGCTTCCAAATTCAGCATCTGTGATTATTCATTCACCTTCATGCTATTAGAAACACATATGTTGCACAAAGTGATGTTTTGAACCATCTCAGGCGCTCCAGCAAAAGTGAATAGACTGCCGAACTATAGAAGCTCTATTGGTGCGCTCAGGTTATGTCGGAAAGATGGCTTTTACAACATGAACGCCACAACAAGTCGAGAAAACCAGTCAAATGCATCCTCTGCATTAACCGGTTGCTCAAGGATGCAGGATTGTTGTTTCATGTATCAAGACACCTACACAAATTAATATTCTTGCTGAATTCTGAGCTTTATGCTACTGCCATAGAAACATACGGCAACAATAGTGAGAGTAGTGTTCTAGTATTTGCTTCCAAATTCAGCATCTGTGATTATTCATTCACCTTCATGCTATTAGAAACACATATGTTGCACAAAGTGATGTTTTGAACCATCTCAGGCGCTCCAGCAAAAGTGAATAGACTGCCGAACTATAGAAGCTCTATTGGTGCGCTCAGGTTATGTCGGAAAGATGGCTTTTACAACATGAACGCCACAACAAGTCGAGAAAACCAGTCAAATGCATCCTCTGCATTAACAGTAAATTTGTTAAATTGAATGAAATTGGTCTTTTACAATAAGATTATGCTAAGTTGCATGTGCAAAATATTATAGTGTTGTACAGTTACAATAGAATATGTAACAATTACATTTATAGAACCTTCATAAATTCATGCATATTTTGTAAAAGTAGCGTTAAAAAATCGTGCAGATTATTTGTAGAAATGGTGCATTGCTGTCTTCACGTCATCGTCAGCTCAGTTCTCCTCCAATAGAGTCTGTGCTATCAACTCTCACAATTTCCACTGAGAAAATAAGAGTCAACACGTTTGGAATGACATGAGAGTCCGTAACAGAATGAACAGAATTCAGGTTATTTTTCAGGGTGAACTGTTCTTTAAATGTTAGTTCTGTGTGACATTATTAGCACAAATAGCTGCAGAAAACGATGTTTGAATGTAATCAGTTTCTGCGGGTCTTAAATCAGAGCAGAAAGTCTTAAATTTGCTTTCTTAAACCCTGCAGAAACCCTGTTCTTACTAAAAGCTGTGATTTGTGTCTTGTTCATAATAACGTGAGATCCTCTCTATCCCGCAGCTCTTCTCAGTAAGCATGTCATGACCCATGCTCAGAAAAACGCTTCCATTGGCCGGTATGGCGGCGAGGGGCGGGGCCACATAGAAAGCTGGTCACATGGTGAAACAGTGGGCGGAGCCTGGCCTGCGCATTCATCGCGAGAAGGCAAGGCCAAGAAAGTCAAGGAGAGTCAATGTTTGGCAAAACGTTCAATGAAAATGCATGAAAGTAAGACTAAGAAAAGAAAGTCCAATGCGACGAGTGAGCGCCATCGGAAGCTCTATCCGTTACGAGGAAGAAGTGAGGCCTTGAGTTGTCACGTATTGCTCGCTCATCTAGATAATGAGACCAAGACGTGTGAGGTGGATCCCAACAGAGATCCAGAACACAAAAAGACAAAAAAAGCCCACAAGAAAGCAGAGAAAACCAGGGAGCCATTGCAGAAATGCCTCAAAACCTTCGATAAACCTTCAGCTCAGGAGCCACGCAAGCGTAGACTAGCGTCGCTCAACGCCGAGGCACTCAACAGCCTTCTGCTCGAGAAAACCCACGGGCCGCCAGGTGCCAAGTCCACGAAGAAACAAGCCACTACAGAGCAAACGAAAACCTGCTCCAAAAGAGCCAGAAAGTCCGAGACGTGCCAAAACCCCAAGAAGGATGAGGCTGGAGTGAGTTTGTACGCTCCTGTTCCCCG